GGACCCCCCCGGCCCCCCCAGCCGACCCCACGTCGCAGCTGCGGCGGGGGTGGCCCAGGGTAAGCTTCACCTCTAGCCGGCGGCGCCTGATGCTCCGCAGCTCCCCCTGCCGGGGAAAGCTAGGAGTGAATGTCCCCAGCCCATTCAACCTTAGCTGCCCTGAGCCTGGAAAGCACCACCGTGCCCTTAGTAAGGCATGAATACGTTGCAGTGGATACAATTACTCCAGAAAAGTCCAACAAATTTCCATTTTCCATCCATAACAGTCCCTTTTTAAAAAGTGAAGTGTTTCTGCATCCCTGCGAGGCTAGGGCTCTGAGCACATGTTTATTTCTGACACATTTGGGCAGCAACCCACAGACACCTGTCTCAGGTCCCTGCAGATGCTTTCATTGGTCAGGTTTGTCTTGTAAAGGCAGATTGTTGCAATTCAGAAGCCGAGTTGGGGTGGCCTCCCCTTTCCCACCTAATGAACTATTTGACCCTCATCATGATCTCTGCCTGGAGGAAACTTCACTCATTCCAGCTGTGTTCACCAAGATTTACCAGTTGCCAGGAACTATGGATACTCTGGTGACTAGACCACGCCCAGGGAGCGGGAAGCGCTTGCCTGGGGGCCTCTGGGCTTGTCAGCTCTAAAAAAAAAGTTCCTCAGACACACTGCTGCTGAGACACACGGCTTCTCAGAAGTGGGCAGGTCTTAGACTCCTCCAAGGAATTGCAAACTCGAATTCTTGCTGGCTTCAGGCAGTAACAAGAAATGTGGGAATTAGAGGGAAGAGAAGGTAGGAGATACAGAAGAGTGGGGCCAAAAAAAAAAGTGAGTGTATGTCTTATCTTTGTGTTTTATTTTTAAAGGAATTATTTAATTTTATTTATTATTAGTAGTAATTTGTTACAGGGCACCCACACTTCCCAGAGAAAGAGAGTGAGAAAGCAAGCCACCAGGTCTGGGGCTCAAATCTCAGTCGGCCATGTGAGAGTCCAGTACCTTAACCACCATGCCACCTTTGTTTTTAAAGCACTGTAGGAGTCAGCAGGTGGATGGTGGATAAGGTGCTAGACTCCCATATGGCTGATTGCGGTTCAAGTCCCAGGCCTGATGGCTTGCTTTTTCACTTTCTCTTCGGTGAGCACATGTGCCCTATAGCAAATAATAATAATAATAATAAATAAGTAAAATAATCCTAAAGAATAAACACCGTAAAACAGAACTGAAGGCAGGTTGAATTGGCCCCATGGGCTGACTTTGAAACCCCTTAGTGGGAGGGTATAAGTCAGGGGAAAGTCATTTGGGGGACTTTCTGAAGGCCCAGCTGTGAAGAGTGGAGTGGCTCTCTCCCCAGGGAACAGGGATGCCCAACTCAGAAGGCACTGACCAGGGGAAGGCCAGTGTTGCCACCTGGACACTGAGAGAAGCCAGTGCCCGCAGGGCTATGTCTTTGTGCATGTGTCAGTCAGAAGGTGAGAAGTGACGGAGCCTCCAGGACCAGGGAAAACACATAATGATCTCCAGGTCAAGACAAGCTGACATTAGAAAATCCTGATTTGCAAACAAGTTACATTCAGCCAGCATCTGTCAGTTGTTGTTAGGCAACTGTGCCAAGTGCTGAACACTCATTATTTTATACTGGGATATGGGCGTGGCTATCCCTATTGTACAGATGAGGAAACTGAGTCTCAGAGAAGTAAAACCACACTGGCAGTGAAGGTCAGGTATACCCAAGTCATGGTTTTAGAAGATCTGCTGAGATCCAAAGAGCCCTGGAACATAAAAACAAACTCTCAGCCAATAGAGAATTGGAGCTGCACAAAATTCAGAGTGGGAAGATGTCCCAAAGTGAGCGACCTGTGCCCCAACCTTATCCAGCAGGTAAATCCTACTACAACTTCCATTCCCACCTTAACAGTTCATCCAGAAATAATCGCAATATGAAACCATGGTCTTTACCTCAATTCTCTGCCTGGGAGAATTTTCCAACACTAGATATTTTCCTTCAAGTATGACTTACTAAAAATAGATTGGTTTTCAAACCCTCTAGAACATGTCAGGGAAAAGGCAGAGGCTCCTACATTGCCAGCCACGACTGTACTATCTCTCACCAGCTTGAGAATCATTTTTAAGGTAATAGTTCATATCAATTAGGAATGCTTTAAGCTGTATTGAACAAAATATTTGTCTATGTGCCTTAGACAACAGTGATACTTATTCTCTCACTTAACGAGAAGCCTGAAGGTAGACTTGGGACAGTAGCAAACACAGTCAGTTAGGACCTAATTTCCCCTCATCTAGCTTTGCTCTCCTCTGTGTGACAGTGCTATTTCCCCTCATGGTCACAGGGTGGTTGCCATAGCACCAACCATCATACCTTCACAAAAATCTCTGAAAGCATAAAAAGAAGGGAACATGTATGAGTTCTCTCTTTTTGTCACAAGGGAATGGAACTGACTTTTCCTTATGTCTCATTGGTTAGCTCTGCATCACATGACCATTCTTGGACCAATCATTGACAAAGAGCAGTGTGATTACCATGGCTGGGGGGAACCAATCATGATTTTCCCTTTAGGACTGGGCCCACTAAAGGGAGGATGAAGTAAGAGTTGTGCTAGAAAGAAGTTCATAGAGTCATGCTAGCTGATACAATAAGTAAATCTCCACATTTCATAGGCTTAACACACAGAAGTTATTTTCTCACTTACGTAACGCTCCAGTGCCACAAGTTGACTGGGGGACCTGTCTTGTGGCTCTGCCCTCCCATAAATGTCAGATGGGAGGAGAGAGAATGGAAAAGTCACAGACACACTTCCCTTCTGCTCAGATCCCATTGGTGAGACTCCATCGCGTGATGTGCCTGGATGCAGAGGAGCTGGGGAACACAGCCCCGGGCGGGAGCGCTACCCCCAGCAACAACTCCACACAAAGGGGAAGTGGCTGTTGAGGGACGAGGAGCTGATCTCTTCCGTGCTGATTGTACTGTCGCCTTGCTTTTAAGGAACATCTAGTCTTCTCCCCGCCCAGACCTCTTTGCCAGTTACTTCTCAGTGACTTCTGCCACCTATACAAGGCCATAAATTATTCTCTAGCACTTCTTTTATTCATTTGCTTCTTAACCTTTTGCCTAAGAAATTCTCTCTGCCTAGACATACCTCCTCGTTTTTCTTTTTACTTAGTGAACTCATATTCATCCCTCAAAATCCAAATTAAAAGTCATCTCCTTTGTGGAACATTTTCCACTACTGTACCCTGGGCAGGAGTCACAGCATTTTTTAAAAAAATTATTTAACTTTGTTATTATTATTAATTTTGTTCTAATGTGACTAGAAAGAGACAAAAGAGAGATAAAGGGAAAATGAGAAAGCAAGTCACCAGGTCCGAGACTTGAACCACAGTCGGCCATGTGGGAGTTTAGTGTCACAACCACCATGCCACCTGTCGGCCCCAGGACTCGCAGTATTTTAAAGGCTGCCTCATCACTGAATTCCCTTCCATGTTTAGCACTCAGTAGGGGCTCAAGTTGTGCTCTACATGGATGTAAGTCCTTCAGGCATAAGAGCTCATTTGGCTGCAATAATAGCAAACTCAGCTCAGTACTTTAATGGCAGCTATTGATTCATGTAATTAGATGTTACTCAGAGGTATCTTCAGGCTTGGCCAGATCCATCAGTGTCTTCACAACTCAGTCTCTCTCCATTCTGTCTTCAGTTCTCCATGTTAGCTTTATTCTCAAAACGAGAGCAGAAAGAGGCATCTTGCACAGGCAAGATGGCTGTTGACCACTCCTGACCTCATTCGCCTAGGTTCAAATGCAGCAGGAACAAAGTCTTTCTGTTCCTGAGGGTTTGAGGCTGAAAATCCCACCATCCATTCTGCTTAGGCGAGCTACAGCCATGTGACCATAATCCTGGACCAGTCCCGGATCTGGCATTCTGATTGGTCCATCTAGAGTCATATACTCCAATCCTGGAGCTGGTGGGGTGTGGTCAGCCTCAGGGAAGCAAAATAGGACCCAGAAGTGAGGGAGGCTGAGGCTGTCTACAGGAAACTCAGAATACTGTTACCAAGACAAGGAAGAATGCTGGAGGGCACTGGAACCCTCAGAAGCATGGACTCTTCACCTTCTCATGTCATACCAGTGTTCACTGAACACTTATGCTAAACCAGGCAGAGCGCTAGGTGCCTTATACACACAACCTGTGAGGTGGCTTCTAAAATTTTTCCCATTTTTCCAGATGAGGAAGTGGAGGCTCAGAAAATGTAAGTGATTTACCCAAGATTAATAAGTGGTTGTGAAGGAATTTGAGCTGACATCTGATAATTAACACAATCCAAGTTTTAAATCATTATGTTGCAGGACTCCCAACTTTCTGCGTTAGAAAGCCAGCCCCTGAAGTCTGGGAGTGTGGGTGCTTGCAGTCCTATGGCCCTCAAGGCTTGTAGGGTTAATCTTCTCAATACCTATGGCTTGATGAGGTTCCAGTCTGACATGCTAAAAATGCCTCTCAGTACTACTGGTTCCTGCCCTAAGATGGGACGAGGGGTCCACCCACAGCGGCAGCTGAAGCCTTCTGCTTTAACTCCATCAGGGGACACACTGCCTGATGCCACTTTGCTCCCTCTTCTTCGGGAACACTGAGAGCAGAAGGGCAACTGACATGCCGGAACCATCTGCCCAGCTCCTAATAATAAATCGCAAGAGGAACAGGTTCCAGGGAAACAGTGCTTTAAAAAAAAAAGAAAGAAAGAAGAAGAAAAGTGCCTCTTCTCACACCCGGGCAGCCATCTGCTGTGTCCTCCTCATGTGCCAAGCTGTGGGTGGAGGAAGAGACTGTGGGGGGCAGAGAAGGGAGGAGGTGCCACTGGGTCCTGCCTGATGGATGGCAGGGGTAGCTCACCCGTTCTTTTCCTTTTGCTACTGTGGACAGGGCATTGCAGAGAAAGAGAGAGGCACGCTCGCTGACTTGGCCTCCCTGGGTGCAGTGTCTGAGCGGAGAGAAAGCTTGAGTCCTTCAAGATGCCAGTGGTAGGTACCAAATAGTTCCTGGGTACAGAGCACTGACTATGGTCAGGCATCAGACTGTCCACTTGGAGTGGGGGTGAAATTAGAGTTTTTAGACACAAATAGAAGAAGAGTTTTCTGCAATAGCTCAGAGCAAAACCTACCTGATGACACCAGACAAGCTTCTGGCTATTAGGGGCCGTTTTTCTCTTTCCACTGTACGTATATTAACTCAGCCTATCCGGACAGGTCTATGTGCACCCATTTTACAGATGTAAGGCAAGAGGCCGAGACATTCAGTGACACACCCAAGGTCACACAAGGTGGCAGAGTTAGGCCTTGAACCCTGGACTCCAAAGAATACCCCGTTTCCCACACAGCAAGTTTGCCTCTTCACATGCAACAATGAGGCTGGCCATTTCTCCATTCTGGCAACTCAGGGTGGGCTTTCCATGTAATAGATGCAGCTGACATCACCCAAGGTGGGCTTTCCCCACTGTCTCTGCTCCAGGCACCCTCCAGCTACACCCTGGAGCTGAAATGTGGACCTCTTTAGTCATCTAACCATTGCCCACTGCCCCCTTCCCTGTCTCACCCAGTTGAAGAAGCACTGGAGAAAAAACTCCGAAAATCCCCAGGAAGCTTCGGAGAAAGTCAAAGAGCAGCAGGCCGAGGCTGAGCTCCGGAAGCTGAGGCAGCAGTTCAGGAAGATGGTGGAGAGTCGGAAGTCCTTCAATTTCCGCAACCAGCAGAAGATCACAAGCCAGTAGTAAGTGATAGCTGCAGTGTGGTGCTGAGGGTTGTTGGAGAAAAGCTGGGGATGTGCAGTGCTTGCCGTTCCTCCTGTGGCTCTGGGCAGGGATCTGCTTCTGAATCCAATCTGGAGACCCATGGTCTTGATCTCTCTAATTTATCTCTCTCTTTCTTTCTGTCTTTCTTCTTTTTTAGAGAGGTTTTTGCTATAGGGGGCATATGCTCGCCAGAGAAACAGAGAGAGACAGAGAGACAGAAGGCGAGAAATCACCCCCCTTGGGGGGATGGCCACGCTGCAATACCTTCTCCTCCATTCTCCTCTTGGGATTTACACACGCATCCAGTGTGAGTTTTAAGTCACCAGGTCCGGGACTTGACCACTTTTGACTACGTGGGAGTTGACGTAATACCATCACGTCGCTGGTCCCTAAAGACTAATTTAAAGAGAAACCCACTGGAATAGCTTCAGAGGGGAAGGCGAGTTTATTATTCCAACTTAGGGTGTCTCTAGGACCCCTGGGGGACAACCACTAGGGAAAGACCTAAATGGGAAAGCATCTGGTTCCCATTTCTGTCTACCCATGAGCTTTCTTCTTGTTCTGAATTCAGACTTGGCAGGTGGGAAATGGCTGTCCCCAACTCTTGAGTGTGCCAGTTACCAAGGGCCACAAAGAGGGACTGTCCTGAATCAATTTCAATCCCAAAGTCTCTGAAGAGGGAGAATTTGATTGGCTCAGTTGGATCAGGAGTCTACTCCTGGTCCAATCAGCTGTGGAGGGAGGCAGGGCTTAGTAATAGGTCATAAAATGGCAATGGCTGTCACTGGCATGATGCTAGCAATGACAATAAAGGAGTTCCCAGAGACGGTGGGACTCACAGGGCTGTGAATACCCCAAGGATATTTCCTATTGTGTGTCTTTATGGGAAAGGCAAGAGAGAATGTTTGAAATTGGGTTGCCCTACAAATTATTTTGTGTATTGTTTCTTTTTATAATAGAAAAGTGTTCCTGGGGGGTGAGTTGACTAAACGAATATCAAACAGGCATTCTTAGATTCCTGCCAGGGCACTGTAATTCCTCAGCTACATCCAGAAACTGTTATTAGAAAATGATGCATGACATTTAGAGAATGGGGGAAAGGAGTTCTTTATAGTTCCCATGGATTTAACTTACTCAGGGCTAGGGCTAATTCATGTGGGACCTCCATGTGAATTTTAAAAAGGCATCCTTTCTCAAGACACTTTACTGCCATCTATTGGAAAAACTGTCATTATATAGGGATTTTTGTTAGAACAAGGAAAAGTCTCCCAAAAAAGGGTAATAAGTAAAAAATAAGTGGTTTTTTTTTTTTTTTTTTCAGTCCACAACATCTGTGCTTGGACACCCTGATTCTCAGCCTACCCCTGTTGGGGATCAGGAAATGCCTTCTTCCTGGTGTGTCTCTGACAGTTTTTTTTTTTCTTTTTTTTATAATCTTACCTCACCCCACACACAGGGCTCTGGCTCTAAGTCAATCAATTTGATCTGGTTTCACTTTGATGGAACTAAGGGGATGGGAATGGGGGGGTAGGAGAGTAGTGATTTTAGGTTTTGTAGAATTAAACACTTAAAAATCAGGGCAGAACTGAGGTGAGGTGCCCAGGGTACAATATTTAAAGATAGTGCTAACCTGCCTTAAATCTGGAGACACCTCAGCCCCTTACTCCAATCCCAGCCCTACCTACAAGACAGACAGAACACATTTTTGCTTTTACCAACTATGCTTTCTGAAAGCTGACTCTGGTGGAGAGTTACCCACTGCTGTCTCTCTCATTTTTCTCTCTACCTTCCAGGTGGGGGTGAAGTCTCAGCGGCAGGTTGAGATGAAGTGCTCTGGTCTCTAGCCACATAATAGCTATTTACATCTGTATTAACTAAAAGTAAATCAGAAAATCAGTTTTTCAATTGCACCAGCCACAGTTCAGGTATTTTTTTACAAGAGATTTTTGCTACAGGGTCTATGTGCTCACCGAAGAAAGAGAGAAAGATGGATAGAGAGAAAGAAAAAACACTCCCCCCAGGAGTATGGCCACACCATAATCCCTTCTCCTCCATTTTCCTCTTGGGATTTTGCGGACGCACGCACATATGCCTGGCGTGAATTTCAAGCCACCAGATCTGGGACTCAAATTGCAGTTGGTCATATGGGAGTCCAGTCCCTTTTATATTTTTTAAGAATTATTTTATTTAAATTAATTAATTTATTAACTTATTTATTTATTTAAAAATTCTGATCAGAGAGAGTGCACGCATGCATGAGAGAGAGAGAGAGAGAGAGAGAGAGAGAGAGAGAGAAAAGTCGCCAGGAAGTCACCAGGTCAGGGACTTGAACCATGGTCAGCCATGTGGGAGTCCTGCACCCTTAACCACAACATCACCTGCTGGCCCCTGGCTGTCTATTTTTAATCAATAAAGTTTTATTGGCACACAGCAAACCTGTTTGTTTAGCCATTGCCTGTGGCAACCTTTGCACTGCAATGCTAAGATGAGTAGTTACAACAGAGACTTCGTGACCTGCCAACCTGAAATAGTCAGTTTTTGGTTCTATAGATAAAAGTTTATCAAGCCCTGCTCTAGAGCATTCTTTACTGTTCTAAAGTGAAGCTTCCAAAACTTTGATGTGCATACATAGCACGTGAGGGTCTTGTTATGAAGCAGATACTGATTCAGCAGGTTCTGGGTTGGGATTTGAGAGTGCATTTCTCCAAGCTTCCAAAAGACATGGAGGCAGTGAGTCTGCAAACCATATAGAGTAGAAGTCAGAAGCCAGATTTTGCCAGAAACTCAGCCTCTGAACCATTTCCCACTGTTCATCTGTTGTTAATCCAAGTCTTTTTTTCTTTTCGAAATCCCCCTATTTTTGCACATCCCCCAATCTGTCTCCTCCCCAGAGTAGACAGAGGAAGGATGGGGAGAGACTCACATCAGCCACTTTAATACATCACTAGCACTCCAGGTAGAAAAACTGGTTAAGGTCAGAGGTTATTGTGAATCTGCATTGATGCAAATTTGAAAAATACTGCCTGGGACCAGCAGTTGGTGTAATGGCTATGTTGCTGGACTCCCACGTAGTCAACCATGGTTCAAGTCCCAGACCCAGTGGCTTAAACTTACACTGGGCGTGTGTGCGTGTGTGCCCAAGATCCTGAGAGGAGAATGGAGAAGGGATTGCGGCGTGGCCATCCCCCAGGGCGGTGATTTTGCACTTTCTATCTCTCTGTCTCTCTCTGTCTTTCTGGTGAGCACACGCGCCCTACAGCAAAAACCTTTCAAAAAAAAAAAAAAATACTGCCTTACGGCTCTGCCCCTCATTAGAGATAACTGGCTGTAAAGTCTAGCCAGACAGTGTGCTACATCCGACAGATGCCAGTGAGCTGCTGGTGAAAGAGAACCTGGGGCTTCCCCCCTGTCCAGGTAATGGGCCTGGACAGGCACAGCTGCCAGTCATTCTCCAGGAAAGAAATACCCACTGGAAACAGTGGAGCTGTGGAAATTTCAGTACACTGGGTCTCACACAATTGGGGGTACAAACTGGGTCTGACACCTCAAGTGAGCCCCTTCTTTCAGGGCCAGGTGGAACATTCCATCAGTGTCAGTGGGGGTTCATAGTTCCTCACGGGCTACTTTCCCAACAGTAAGGAGATCGAGACCCTGAAGGAAGAGCAGGATGAGATCACCTTGCTCCTGAACCTCATGAAGTCTTCGAAGAACTTGGACCTGAATGAGAAAAACTACATGGAGCTGCGGTTCCTGCTGCAAACGAAGGAGGACTACGAGGCCCTGATCAGCTCAATGAAAACGCTGCTGGCTGAACTGGATGAGAAGGTGTGGTCCTTCCCTAAGAAGGTGGGGCAGGACACAACCAAGGGTGTGCCCACGCTGCCTGAAGCTAGACCAGACACCCTGGTACCCACCACAACGTCTCTGGGGAGCCCTCGGAATCTGACTGTGGTTTCCACTACCCAGTGACCTCTGAGTTCCCAGCATCTAGGCTCAGTGCTGTGAACTAGTCCACCCTCCACCATGCCAGGCCCCTTCCTGCTACACCCTGTCAGGCCCATCCTTCCAGGCTAGGATGAGGTTAGGCGAGGCAGCCGGCGCATGTAACAAGTGCCTCCCCCACCCCAACCCTGTGCTACAGAACAATCAAGGTTGTTCCTCGTTCACGTTGCATATATATCATAGGTTGTCTGGGGGCCTTATGTCCTGTTCTGGGACAGGCTAATGGGATAACCACCCCCTTGTACAGTGCCAGGTGTTACGGCAGAGAAAAGAGAGTTCTGGAAGCCTTCATGCTGGCAATTGGATGCTCTAACCTGTAAGTGACACATGTCACTTCTGCTCATGATTCATTGGCTCAAAAGAGTCATGTGACCCTATGCATCCACAAGGGGTCCAGGAAGGGAAATCCTCCTGTGAATCCAGATGGCAAAACACTAGAGACATTTGCTGATGGTGTTGATGGTCATATCCCTTACTATGGCTTGAAGGGCTCTGCAAGATCTAGTCCCTGCCTACCCCTCTGGCTTACCCCAGGGCCTTTGCACATGCTTCTGTAGCCCCTCTCCACCCACCCCTCTCATCCTTCTCAGGGAGGCCTTTCTTATCCCTCTCTCTAGTTTAAATAATATCCCCTCATGTTAGTCAAGTTCCTGGCCAGGAACAAGGAGCACATTCAGGAAGGGACTTTGAGAAGAGTTTTGTATGGGATGATTTACAAGGGTGTGAGCAATGGGGTAGGGATGCTGAAGCACTGCGGAGTTATCAACAGTGGGCAAGGGGGAGCAGTGTGAAACCTGGAGTGCCCAGAGAAGGCTAGAGGCGACAAGTCCCCAACCTCTGTCTCTCCAACCCTCTGCTCCTCGGTGCAGGGGACCCCATCACAGATCCCCTTTGGGGACCTGAAGCAGGGTGCAGTGGTTCTCTGGGTGCAAATAGAAGATCCCAACACCCACCCCCATCCTCTTTCATGGCACCCATGACCTTCCTTAGCAGTTTGCACAGTGGGGACTAGGCTTTAACACGTGTGGCTGAATGTCTCACTGGCCAGCTGGTCAGCCCCGTGAGGGCAAGACCCATGTCTGTGCACCCTCCCACCCCGTGTCTGTTCAACTACCCAGCACAGAGCAGATTCTCAATATACAGCCACTGGCTGAATAAAGCCAGAATCCCGTTATGCCTTTCCTGTGCTTCAGCCCTTCTGCTGTTCTTCTGATAAAGGCCAAACTCCTCGACACTGCTGGCTCCTCCCAGCTCTGCCTTCTCTGCATCCCACCCATGCTGGCCTTCTTCATGTCCTTGGAACCCACTGTGCTGACCCTCACATCCAGGCCTTTGGATATGCTATTCTCCCTGCCTGGAGTGCCCTTCCCAATGCTGTCTGCTAGGCGGAACTCCTACTCAGCTTGAACGC